GAATCCACTGAGATTTTATACAATTTTATAGAGTTCATAATTGTATGCAATTCTATAAGGGTTGCATCAAATTTTATACAATCTCGTAGACAATTTCACAAAACTTATAAAAAATTTGTAATGTTTCAGAGAATTCGTATAAATTTTATACAATTTTATAGTGTTAATAATTTTATACAATTCTATAAGGGTTGTGTAAAATTATATAAAATATCGTATGAGTTATCTAAAATATTAGACACACACACTTTGATCAAACTTATTTAAATTTTGTACAATTCTATAAGGGTTGTATAAAATTTTATACAACTAAAATATTAAACAACTTTATAAAACTCACGTGAATTTTGTACAGTTTCACCGAACCCTCATAGAAATTATATAAAATTTCATAAAATTTCTCAGTTGCGTACAACACCGCCAAAGATTCACCGAACAGCGACCGTAGCCTGTTCGAGATCCTCGAGCCGGGTTTCTTACGGAGGCGTTAAATATTCGTGGTAAACGATCAAACGTTCGTCCAGCGACGATAAACGGTGACACTCGAGATAAACGGTGTCTTCCTTATTCACAAGTTAATCCGTCGTAGCCGTCGCAGCAGATCCGTGGTTCTCAATTCCGTTTCGAATCGGATCGGTTCGGTTCGGCCCGGATCGAATCGGATTGGGCCAGCTCCGAGTCGACTCGGTTCTCCTTCTCTATATAACCGGGAATCGTCTCTGGAACCGGAAGTGGCGCGCCGCGGCCGTCGGACACGCGAAATCGAAAATTCGCCGGGCGAGAGAGGCGAGTTCAAGGAACTCCTGTCTCCGACCGAAACTCGCAAAGTATTCCGCTTAGGAAAGCTGTCAGCGGCGTTTGCCGGCGCGCATCGTGTGCAACCGTACACGTACAGAAACGTGTCAATGACTTTCGTATTTCGCCGTCCCCGTTTCCCCGGTTCTACAGCAGCCGACGACGACGACGACGACGAGCCCCGAATCGATTTCGATTTGACGGCTAGTTTCACGGGAATATATATTGCGAATCCCTGTCGGCGCCAACAATTCTTTTTTTTGTTGCCGCCGAAACATTTTACCGGCGCGCGCTGCGACTAGAAACAACTTCACGGCTATCGAAAATCTGTAACTCCGCTCGAACCTTGTATGCGGTAATGAATTTATCGGAAGTTCATTATCACGTTACAGTGTTTGGGTTTCTATCGGTTCAAGAGGTATTGGAAGATCGAGTGCTTAGATATTTTCTTGTACATTTGTGGTACTCGGTGTTCTTAATATTTTCGAAGTGTCGGAATCATTTTGAAGGTTAAGTGCTCATTGCTGATCTTCGATCAAAGTGTATCCGTTGTACCGTTGACTTTATCAAAGTCTAATCACGATGCAGAAACTGTAAATATGCGAAAGTCATACTTATAGGTTATTTCTGCGTTTGGTCTAGGCTAGGCTTACGTTATGTCTCGGTTGGTTGTAGGTTAGGTGTGTCTGCTGTGCTCGTCGTGCTCACCGTCTTCAATGTGTCTACTGTGTTCAATGTGTTAACTGTGTCAGATTAAAAGGACTGCACACAGATTAAAAGGACTGTGTCGAGCAGTTCAAATTCGATTAGATGTTATCGGTCGGTTACAGTTTACTGTTTTCTGGGGACGTTTACGGGCCGTAAATGCACAAAGGGGTCCCGCGAATGCCGGGAAATTTACGATCGACCGATGTGGAAGTGTAAATCGTGGAACCGCGGGTTCGGACGTTTTCTAATAACAACACCGGTAATCTGATTTCCTGGCGGGCCGATGGACGATGGGGCTCAATTTATATATCTGAAACGGTTTCATCTCAGTTTCATTAGATCACGATTTACGGACAAATCGTTCCGCGGTTTCGCTCACTCACCTGTCGAATTTCGTTCGACCGCAAGAGATCGGATGACGGTTAAAGCTTGCCGTAAGCGAAACCGATACAGATACGTGCAATCTCTCCGCCGCGCACTCTCTCCCATACATGGACTCCTTGATACTCTCTCTTTCGCTCTCTTTTGTATTCTTCTTACTCTCTCTCTTTTTTCTCATTTGCTTTTCACTCTTTGTCGCAATCGCTCATATCATTCTTTCACTATTTCTCTCTCTCTCTCCCTCTCTCTATTTCCTCCTTTTTTTCTATCCAACCTCCCATCTGTTTTTTTATACAAAGTAAAGATTGTGTACATCACTTGTTAAGAGTAGAAGCTAGATAAAAAGTTCTTTGGTATTTGAATAATTTTAACCCCCTATTATATATATAACCCCATTAATATTGTATAACCCCATTCACATGTGTAATAACAATTCTTTCGTGTATTGTCGAATATAGCCGTCATAAAGAAATGGCGAATTTTTTCTTTGGTAACTAATCTAATCCGTCTAAAAGATAACACTATCAAAATAGAAACTGTGAGCAGCAATTGCAAAATTTATGTTATTTATTGAACATGTACGGAAAGTTGTTCATTAGTTATAAAATTACAAAAGAAAAGAAGTACAGAGGTTTAGAACGACTTGATACAGAGTTAAAATAAAGATAATAAGATAACCGCGGGTCCTTAAATTAATACGATAAATCTCTACTGTCTATAATAACGTTGCGAAATTATATTGAGTAATTTGAGATAGATTCTGTTCGAAATAGTTCGAGAACTGCAATATCCACGTAAAAGTGAATTCGCCCGAGAACATGATTTTCCTGAGATGCTTCTACTGTTCCGCATTTGATCTACCAATTTCCGCCGTAAACGCATAAAATTTGCAGTCCACTTATTATTCCTGTTACGGACTCGCGCTTATCAGAGTTACTTCGACGTTAATAATTAACTGCGCTAAGTAGAGGAGATTTTATGTTCGTTTAAACTTCGCATTTATTACGACGCTTAAACTTCGATAACGGGGAAGTGATGTTCCATTTATACCAGAATTAATTGAACGGCGACGCACGGTTATTATACTCTTTGAAATTTTAATAATTGAACTACGGGCGACAATAGCGACGTAAGAATAACACTGCGCTCATTCGAACCGTGTAGTTCGCACGTCACGTGCATGGTAGCCGGAAGAAAGAGCTTTCCAGATCAAAGGGGCGGGGATAGGTCATGCGACGCGCCGGGACTCCCGCACAGCGGAGTGGGAGTAGTCACGTGTCGCGCCGAGTTTCCCGTACAGGAGTGGGGGCATAGCAGGTGTTCTATTATACCGGTATTGTATTGTTAATATTTTTGATAATATCGTTAATCGAATATAATAAAATTTGCATAAGTATTGCAAATGTATCAATCGTATTATAATTAATGTAATGTATTTATTGTGTCCAAATGAACGGCTACGGCGTTCGCTTACGTAACCGTAACTCTCTGTAATTTCGAAACTACTTCGAACTGACCAGTAAATCTTTCGCTGACAGACCAAACCACTCGACACCGAGCGAGGAAAATTAATGCTTCCGCAAATGACATTTTCGTTTTCCGTTCATGGAAATTCCTTATCTTATCTTCAACTAATGTATTATTGTAGTTTATACAACTGTAATCATTGTTTCAGCAATTGCAACATTTGACCAGGAAACGATTTTGTGCGAATTAGAAAACCACGTTCTCGCTTTTCATCGGAAGGACATCAATTAGTATAGTAGAACCTCGATTATGCGAATTGATCGAGGAAAAATAATGATTTAGGTGATAGAACTCGGAATATAAATAGATAATTAGTAGACTATGGATCTTTATTCAAAATATAAATGATCGAAGAAACTCGTGAATGAAAGTAAATTTTAATTTGTTTAATAATTTTGATAAATAGAAAGCAGCGCGACGAAATTATTAAATTCTTCTTATGGCCCCGCAATTTTACATTTCGCTAATTTCTGTCATAAACGTATGAAATCGACGGCCTAGTAATTAATTACACAGAGTAAAACATTACCGAGTTGTATAATAGTATAACGTCTCGGTGTCCTTAGATCAGGGACCATAATTGTTATAATTGGATTGTTATGCGAAACAAAAAATGTTTGCACATTAATTGCGACCGACGCGGAAACTACATAGACATTTCGTTCGTTTGAAAATTATTTCGCCGAGTTGAAAATATGGAACAATATTTTTCGGTTATTCAATTTAAATGTGCAACAATGTTGGACGCCGGCAATATTTTTTCGGCAATTGCGAAACAATTCTTTATCGTTCCATAAAATACAATTTCCTGCACTGGTAACACCTAACTGGACCAATTAAAATAAATTTGGTTTGACACCGTGATTGTCGCGAGCGAACGAAATAAAGTTCCTTGCCACTGACGGCATCTATTAGGAGTGACCTAAGCAGAATTCTTCTCGCTGATAATCAGACTGCAGATTTTCTACACTTATAAAGGAAAATCGGTGATGAAAGACATCGCCGTAATAACATCAGAAAAGTTTCAACACATCGACACGTTATTGCCAACTCATCGAAATAACCAAGATAGAAAATAAATTGTTGCCGGAACAACCGGAATCGAGCATGATCGTCTCCCGCATCGAAAATCATTACGAGCGATCGAAATCGAATTTTCCAAATTATTAATAATTATTGCCAACGAAATCGTCTACATTTTCGAAAGTGTAGGCGCGACTGTTATAATGTAAAATTATGTCGCAGAGAAACGGCAGTTACATTTATGAATTTTATTCGTAACATTTGTTTCTTTATTGAACTTAACAGTTGCTTCTGACGAGTATATTCGTCGCAACACAAAATATTATTATTTATTCTTGACGAGTATACTCGTCGTAACCTAAAATGTCGCCGTTTCGTCGCGACGAGTATACTCGTCATATATTCGACTTGATAATATTCTGGCTAACCTATTCTAATCTGCTTAGACGTTGAAGCAACGCTGAAATAATTTCAGCCATAGAAAGCGAATCGCCAGACCACCGCGGGTCGTCCGGTTCGAAAAACGAGAAGCTCAAACAAGAACCGGGAGGATGAGCTGGACGTACCTGTTCTCGAAGTAATTTTCCTAGGACACCGGGCACAGCCGCGGAGCACAGCGTAGCAGGTAAAAGGCACAAAGTTATTCGTCCGGTCCCGACGACCCCGGCTCACAGCTTTTCACGGCTTCGGCCTTGAACTAGCGGCGGCAGCGTCGCTCGTTCCTCTCTCGCACCTCTTCCGTGCTGGCGTTGTCATCGGTTCCACGATTCTGGATCGGCCTGGATCGATCAGATTCCCCACGCAGCCGGCGGATCCGCGCCGAGAGGAACAGTGCTGTCACCGATGGCCCGCGACTGACAGTACGCCTCGCAGTAGGCTCACGCCGCCGTTCCAGCAGCCCGCTCGATTTCCTCGGGACGACTGACCGACTAGCGCCGAAGGTCTCGGCCAAATCGGATCGTATCGGATCGAATAGAATCGCGAGTGAAAGGAGAACCCGCGCGAACTATCGCTCCGGCCACCTTGCTCTAACGTATTCCCTGCTGACGACGATCGCGCGCCGATACCGTCGCTTCGCGGCGTCACCGACCGCAAATGGGTTGCTCGAGCCTGTCGATCCTACGTATAAATCTGTTGCAACGGCCGCTCTCCCCTCTCTGCAAAAATCCCCCACCTCTCCTCTAGGCCGCTCGGACCGCCAGCGGTTTCATGACTGGCGAACGGTCTTTTTGCGAGCGCAATTGCGGGTCTTCTCGAAAATCGCCCGGTGGGCCGGGGGTTATAGTAATTATGGCAGTTTTTTGTTGCGTATGCTGTTAGTTTATATATGTATATATATTTAAATATATATTTATGTAAAAATTAATTGTACAGTTAGAAACTAGTTTAACGTTGTGTCTGGGTTTATCATAATTGTATAACAGGTGCTAGTCATTTTCCTGTTATAATTTACGCTGGTTTTATTACTTATGTAGTTGATGATTATATTATTATTACAATGTTATTTTCTAATTGTACAATTAAAAATTAGTTTAAGGTTATATAAATGTGTATAAATTAACAGTACAAGTAATAAAATTGCTATAAATAAAACTTATGACAAGAAAANTTTATTACTTATGTAGTTGATGATTATATTATTATTACAATTTTGTTTTCTAATTGTACAATTAAAAATTAGTTTAAGGTTATATAAATGTGTATAAATTAACAGTACAAGTAATAAAATTGCTATAAATAAAACTTATGACAAGAAAATAAATTATCAGTACCTATTATACCATTACCTTAAATCTAGAAATAACGTTAAACAACTTGTTAATAACAACAAGTGTTAATAATAACATTACTCTAAAATGATGTAATTATAATAAAATTACTGTATAATAATAATAATAACATTATTGTTATGAACTGTACAAGTAATAAAACTACTATATAATAATAATGAAGTTATTAACTGCATAAGTAATAAAATTACTGTGTAATAATAATATTATTATTGTTATGAACTGTATAAGTAATAAAATTTTCCTATAAGAATAACAAAATTATTAACTGTATAAATAATAAAATTACTTATTTATATATATTATAACTTAAGTAATAATAACAATGAAATTGTTAACTATATAAGTAATAAAATTACTATCAAATAACAATGAAATTATTAACTGTATAAATAATAATATTACTGTCAAATAACAATGAAATCATTAACTATATAAGTAATAAAATGACTATAAATAAAAATTATAATAACAAAATTACCGATACCTATTATACCATAACCTTAAACGTTAACGTAACGTTATGGGTGGATGTAGACAAATGAATCACGAAACATCAGAAATGCGATGTTCGTGACGAAAAATCATTTTCGAGGCGAGTTTCATTAGTCTTTACGAGGAAAATTGTTGGAGCATCGATGCGGCGAATTTGTAATCCTGTAGCGTGTCGCTTATGGTTGCGCAGGACGATCTACAGGTTTCTGTACCATTAGTCCAAGGCTGTCTGATGCAGTACAGGTAAAGTGTACAGATAGTGAATGTATACAGCAAGAATAAGATAAGATCTAAAGATAGGATTAAGACGTATAGAGTGTTCCACTAAAGCTGTTACAGAACAATATCTCCGTTAGCGTCAACGATACCGAAAAATGCTAGAGGAACAGATTGTACGGTTCGAAGGGACACACGTTGCTGTGAAAATAGTTTTTTTTTAAGGTCATATTTCTCGAGATTTTAAGGTCATCAATGCTTTTTTAAATGGGATTACATATTTCTGTTTCTGCATCATGATAGCTGAAGTCAAGACGAATCCAACGATCTATAATAACATGACCTTGGCGTGACCTCAAGCTGATCGATCATCGCGTTGTTCGTCGCGCCGAAATCGGCTGCGATTGGTCGCCGGTCCGCGTAGCCAATATCAAATTATAGAAGTAACGGAGCAGATGTACGACGCTCTTTCTGTAATCAAATTAAAATATGACAATAATTTTTAACATTTATTCCCAATAAATTTTTCATCGTTGACGTTTCAAGGTTTATTCGTACTCAAGGTCACACGAAGGTCATGTTGTTACAGCTCATCGGATTCGTTTCGACCTTAGCTGTCGTGATATAACGATAGAAATGTGTAATCCCGTTTGAAAAAACTTCGATGACCTTGACGGTTCGAAAGATATGACCTTCAAGGAGAAACTGTTTCCACAGCAACGTGTGTCCCCTCGAATCATACAATTTGTCCCTGTAGCATTTTTTAATATTGTTAACGCTAACGGAGTTATTGCTCTGGAACAGCTTTAATGGAACACCCTGTAGAATTTAAGAAAACAGGCTGCGGAATCGAAGGAATGTGGAAACAATTTCAAACCGAGTACTTTTTTCTTCTCTTGGCTGCGACGACGAACGTAGCAATCGTCTGTCTACGCCCAGGGAAAATCACGGCCGAAAGAACGCTAGGACATTGCGAAATAATTTATTTATTCGGACGGCTGCTGTTCGTACGATTCCGTTCCACAATGCCATCGCAGAAAATTTAATTGACGTCTGTTTGAAAGGTAATTCGCATCAGAGAGTTGAATGAAGTTCTATTGAAAACGATCTCCCGAAACGATAAGCCGCGCGCGGTCCGTTGGAACATCGAAGCCATAACGTTTTTAAGAGAACAATGCGTCGGCTGCGACGAGCGCGACGGAGTTAGCAGACAAACGGACGGATAATAGTTCAGGAATAACACGAATAGAACAGAAACGTGAAAAATTGCCGTTGCATAAGCTGCCTCTGTTCCCATTATTTGCCAGGCATAACCGATTAAAAGTATGCGCTATTTCTATGGTACGATGTTCTATGCGCACGTATTATTCGAATGTATTGAGATTTTAATTAATTTAGTTTGAACTGTCGCAGAGAGAGAGAAACGCTTTCGTGGTTTTAATAATTATGGGCATTTGAAACGAGTCCGAGTTGAACGTTTGCTGTCTCTCATAGGAATAAGAGAATATTTCAATGTTCGTTATATCCGTGGAAGAATAAGTTTTAAATGTGGAGTGATTCGGACACGGACTTGTTTATAATGTGTTGGTCGTAGCAACTGGAAAATCAGCAGGTATTTTGTTCTCGAAGTGTCCTGCAGGTATTATAGAAATAAATAATGATTTTAAATAATTGAGTGCTGATTGCTGAGTGCTGTGAGCTGTAAGTTGAGAGCTGAGAGTTAAGAGAATTGGTAGCTGAGAGTTGAGAGAATTGAGCGCTGAGTGCTGTGAGCTGTAAGTTGATAGATGCAAGAGTTGAAAAAATTGAGTGCTGAATGCAGTGAGCTGAGAGTTGTTAGTTGAGAGTTAAGTGTTGAGAATTGGCAACTCAGAGTTCAAAGAATTGCTAGCTGGGAGTTGAGAGAATTGAGAGCTGAGTGCTGTTAGCTGAAAGTTGATAGATGCGAGAGTTGAGAAAATTGAGAGCTGAGTGCTTAGTGCTGTGAACTGACAGTTGTTCTACGGGAGAGTTGAGAGTATTGAGACCTAGGTGCTGTGAGCTTAGGGTTGATAGATGAGAGAGTTGAGCAAATTGAAAGCTGAGTGCTGAGTGTTGATAGATAGGAGAGTTGAGTAAATTGAGAGCTGAGTGCTGTGAGCTGAAAGTTGAGAGCTAAGAGTTGAGAGTTAAGAGAAGCTGAGAGTTGAGAGAATTGAGTGTTGAGTGCTGTGAGCTGTAAGTTGATAGATGCAAAAGTTGAGAAAATTGAGTGCTGAATGCAGTGAGCTGAGAGTTGTTAGTTGAGAGTTAAGTGTTGAGAATTGGTAGCTCAGAGTTCAAAGAATTGCTAGCTGGGAGTTGAGAGAATTGAGAGCTGAGTGCTGTGAGCTTAGAGTTGATAGATGGAAGACTTGAGAAAATTGAGAGCTGAGTGCTGAGTGCTGTGAACTGAGAATTGATAGATGGGAGAGTTGAGTGAAATGAGAGCTGAGTGCCGAGTGCTGTGAACTGAGAATTGATAGATTAGAGTGCTGAGTAAAACGAGAACTGAGCGCTGTGAGCTGAGAGTTGAGAGTATTGAGAGCTCAGTGCTGTGAATTGATAGATGTGAGAGTTGAGTGAATTGAGAGCTGCGTTTACTATTTTACAATCTCTGGTCGATTAGTAACTGTACTCGGGTTATTAATAAATAAACATTTACACTGAGAATATTTACATGAATAATATTGGTTGACAGTATTTGTATATTTGAGTGTGTCACGTTCATTACAAAATAGCTACGTTTTTGTGTTTTCATTAGAGAGATCATTATATCTACACTGTGCTACGAATATGGTTATTTGAGAAATTCAATTACTCGGTCCGCGTGTATTATAACAAGCTCTGTATGTTACAGTATTATAATTATATCTAATGCTATAATCACGACGCTACCGCGTAACTAACCATTTCTCTCTACTCGTCAAAATTCTTAAACAGGTTAATCCATTTGTTCAAGCAGCCTTCTAATCACGACACGTCTGGTTTCGAGACCAACGATCAAAACACATAGAGTGGCCAACAAGTCACGAAATAGTTTTAATATTATTCTTATGGTCTTTTTATTTGTCAAAAATATTCTAACTTTTTATTTATGTCGCAATTAGTTACACCTCATTGTGAAGAAATGAAATTTCAAGATTAATTTGACCAATCTAAATGTTTATAGCAACATCTTTTGTTCTACATACTTGTCATTATGGGGTGTCAAGTTAATAAGATTGAACATTCATTGAATTTTCACGGAATTTTTGCTCGATACGACTGTCATTTTATTTCTATATAAGTTTAATTCATTGGACAATCACCTTTGTATTTATTTTTTATGAGTACAACGACCTCTCTCTCTCTCTCTGAATTATGGCAGCCATGAAAAATAATATGCTGTGAAACTTATGCAATAATACAATAGTAATAATAATCAAGATTGTAATGCAGTTATGCAGCAATAATAATAATAATAATAATAATAATAATAATAATAAAAATTGTAAATGCACAGTTATATAACAACAATAATAATAGTAATAAAGATTGTAATGCAGTTATACAATAAAAAATATTAATTATAATAAAGATTGTATTGCAGTTA